TATATATATAATGAAAATGTTTATATATACACTTGAAAAATGTATCAACATCTATATCCGCAAAATTCTAATTAAAAATATTAAATTTATTTGGCACAATATTAACAGGTCAATTCATGCAAGAATGAAATTTATAAAATTTTACTATTCTAAACCGAATGGTTCAGAAATATTAAGATAAGATTTGATAACTATTATTTGTCATTATTTCTTCCTAAAGTAGGGCCCGGATAAGGCAAATAGAAATGTTGACAAGTCATCTCTTTATAAGAAGTGTTGCAAAAATGTTAAGTTGTAATTTTTATTTAGATGTGTTAACGTCTTCATGCATAGATAATTCCTAATATCCTTAAATACATGCGTAACGTTTCAGTATAGTCATTGATTCGACAGTAATAAACGCGGTTTAACTCTCAATTTTTGTAAAGTCAGACAACAATCTCCATATCCTATTGCGAATAATTCGCTTAACTAATTGGAAACTAATTGGAAACTAATTGAAGACAAATTTACCAGGTAACTCCGGATTCTCTATCACACCCTTGAAATACTTAAGCTCTAGGAAATCTCTAATATTATTCGGACATAGCACTTGTCTACCGGCGAACTCGATACTCGACATCGGATGGAGGAAGTGCTCTGGAAAGTCCCGGTTCTTCAGGAACCACGCATCCTTCATCATGGATCCGTTCCGCGCGTAAAACGGCAGCAGATTCACATGCAAACGGTTCACCCTGGAGTACTGTACCTTGAAGAATTCGCCCTCGGTCGCCTTTTCCCACACAAAACCATCATTATCAACGACCGGTTTGCTTCTGGCTCTGACCAGCCATGGCGATCTTCCAAGATCGTCCCGGTTTAGTCCGATTTGTACCTCATGATCCCACGGCAGAATGTCACCATGCCTCATCGCTCCCAGCAATGACTGACCCTCTAACCAAAATCGTATGCCAACTTCTTCTAGTTTATCGATAACGTGGTGGGCAACTTTTCTTAATCCAGCTAGGCAACAAGGCGGCGTATATCGATGCTGGTAGAGATACGATGGAACATCGTTTATCACTGAACCGAAACACCTTACGGTTTCCCGCGAACAACCATACCATTCCACGAAACCGGATATTTTCGTAACTTTCTTTATTCCCAATTTTTCAAACATTAATCGCTCCCGTGCGCGATATAACTGCTGCATCTTCAATTGTGTCTGTTGATTTTTGTACAGCGGTTTTCCCTCGTTGAATTGATAATTTTTCAATATGTGTATCTAATGACATGTATCACAAAACACCATAAACACATTTAATCAGCACTTATTTTAAGGCAAATTTAAATTTTATTCTAACAAAAATATTTAAAAAATTAATAATTTTACGCATTTTTAAAGAAAATGTGCAATACATGAAAAATACTTACCGTATATAAACAAAAACATTTTTCAACACAAATTTATACATTAATAATCACTACACAAAATAACGAATAAAATATATATATAAAAATATATATCCTGTATATATAAAAATATGTAAATATAACATAAAATTCAATTGCATAAATACAATTAGGTATAAACAATAGCAAAATTATATCAATGCAACAAGAATAAATCAATGAATGTTATATAATTCATTGTAAAATAGAATAAAAAACAATTATTTTAAATTGGATCAAATGCATTACAAACCTTTGCTCCGATGACTGTTGTTTGGATATACAATGCATCCGTAAAAGGCAACAAAAAGGGATCCGATAGTTTTCTCAAAATTTTTGCTTCAAGCATAGTTACATGCTTGCCTATGACACTATCACATTCTGTTCCTGTAACCCGTGTTAGCTTCAAACTCCATTCTTTCACTTTTAAATCTAATTCAAGACAATGCAAGGCAATCTTTCCCACTGGAACGATAACTATCCCCAAGTTTGACGCATGTGAGACAGTTTCCTATAAGATACGTAAAAAAGACAATATTAAGTTGTGATTTCAGCATAAAGTGCTTCTTATTAATATAATAAATGTAATTCTGTTTACCTGTACAACTTGCTTAGTTGACAATCTTGTTGCGTCAGGCAAAAACAGAACAAACTTGGTACGTATGTAGAAAAGTGGATTCCGCTCCTCAAAAGACTTATTGAATTCAGGTCGTAAGCTGATCAGCTTAACATTCTTCATACTCTCATTGGCAAAGTTCAGCTCCAACGGCGGATATGGCAGATCATCGCAAACTATCAGAATTGGTATTTCTGGGAAAGAATTCAAAACGGACTCCACCATCGATGCCACGTCATTTTCGAAATTTTCAAACTGCCTGATGACAATGGTGACAAGACGGGCCAAACGCCGATGCAGTTTCTGTGGGTGTTCGTTTGTCGCGACGCTCGGAGTCAACAGACCCAGAGTATTTTGCGCCGTGAAAAGCAGCCATATCCTATGCCAGACGATGATATTACCTATCAGCGCGAGCGCCAAAACTGCCCTGATGAATCTGAGGCGCATTATTATGATATACAGTGCGGTCTCATCTTATATGATTGGCAAACGGTGCCTACATCACTCCGGTATCAAACTCTGAACGTTTGACAATTCGAAATATTTTTGTCATATTGAGACGATAATTCTCAATATTGAATTTACCTGAATGTTATTTCGCTCGACACGATAATACTTTACACAATTACGAAGTGGACAAATACTTGAGTGAAAATATATTCTTCAATGTAGGTGGATGCTCACGAAGCGTTCGAATCAACTTTTGAGGTTAGGTACATTGATCTTGGTTAACTAACCCCAATTAATGGATCATTATTTTTATCATAGACTGTGGTGATACACAGTACATATACTGGTTCTAATAAGATTTCTTGCAAATTATTTTAAATATGCAATGCTAAAGCTTTAACATGGAGAAAAAAAAATATTAATATAAAAAATGGTCACGATCAGGTTAGACTTGAAGGTTCTTGTGCTAAAATCGCAAGTTGACGTAATCATAGGGGTATAGGAGTACATGATATGTATTCATGGATAACGACCGTAATTGATCTCGCACCGAAAATTAGTGTAATTGCGCCAAATTACGCTTCATTGAAAAAGGGCAATCCTTGACCCCCTCCCTTGCGCATTGTACCGGTATTTGAATAAATTTGCATCTAGTTTTACGTTGTCACGCTGGTAACTCTTGTAAAACCCGTTTCGTAGTTTCTAAGACCATACGGCTTTTTTAAAATAATTATTGTAACAAAATTCTAATATACAATTACAAATAATAGTGCTATTTTTGTTATATCTTTTATAAATCAAAATTTACGCAACTTATCAATATTACAAATTATTTTAATTTATACAAAAAGTTATTGTCATTGTAAACAGCTCTTTAACTCACCGCGAAACATCCCTAGCGACATGCTGCTTCTTAAAATCCTAGAAGCTCTGATTGGTAAACCTGATCGTCAATCTCGTCATTTCGCGTCAAACGTCAAATTTCATCCGTGCGCCGCTTTTTCGCGCTTTTAACTCAAGCGAGAATTCGTGCATCATTAAATATGCCGTTGCACCGGTACACGCACGCGATCCTGTGCAGGATCCCTTTATCGTTGCGTACGCGAGGCGAAGTGACATTGGATGAGGCTAGAACGCAGCATCTGGCCCTGGCACAACTTTTGCGTGAGCTTGACATCGACGTCGTCGAGATGCCGCCCGACGAGAACTCGCCACTTTGCGTTTTTGTCGAGGACATCGCCGTCGTCTGCAACGGCATCGCTCTGATCGCTCGACCGAGTGAGCCGTCACGTCTCAAAGAGGTATACTTAAAACCTTATTGAAATCAGATTCAACTTGAAACTGACAATAGGAAATTAATAGAATGTAATGATAATTGTAAAATTATTAAATTTATTAAAATTATTAAGAAATGTAAATATTGATAGATGACTGAAAGATTTAATCAATATTTCAACTGTATTGATGAATTCAATTAATAAGATTCATGTTTTATTTCTTTTCAGCTTGATACTATTAGAGCTGTTTTGAAGAAAGAATTAGAGATACCTCTTATAGAGATAAGTGACAAGAATGCTCGATTAGATGGTGGAGATGTTCTTTTCACTGGTAAATTTTATTCTATAATGTGTTATATTTTTCACTCATGTTTTACTCATAAATAATACAGCTTCTTAAAATTGTACCATTTGTTAATGAATAAATATATGCTTTATTATAGGTAGAGAATTTTTTGTTGGGCTGTCGCATTTTACAAATGAAGCAGGAGCGAGAGCCGTTGCGGCAGCATTTCCAGAATATCCATGTGTACCCATCAAGGTAATGTAAATCCATGAGTCATTTAAGTTAACAAATTTACATTATCTGAAATCTGAAAACTGATATTTTGTGTTAGACATAAAACAATTACAAATTTCTCATAATTCACTGAACATATATCGCATGTATCAATGTCTCATTAGAATGTCTTGAATAGTCAATGTTAGAGTCATCATGACATGTACTCAATATGTGTACCACTTTGTGCATAAAAATGACTTATAAATATGTTCCAATTTTAAAACATATTTTACCTGTAATCTTCTTCTACATTTATACTTGTCATCCTTTGTCTTACAAGGTATTATCTTATAAGTCTTATCAAAATTTCATTGGGTATTGCTTTGCAATATAATTTATGCACTCCTTTTTAAGGATATTTTACATTTCACATCTCAATTGCATCATATACAGAATATTTTATTGTGAATAGCTGTTTTACAGATAAATTTAGAATTAAAAAATGCAATTATTTGTTATATCAATTTTTGTAATTTTTCTTAGTATCAAATTCATTCTTTATAATAATAAACTTTATTTTTAAATTCATCCATCAATGATGAAACATTTTGTATATCAGTAATATAAATACATGCATGTGTGATCCATGAGTAACAACAACAATTTTATGTGTATCTATTCACAATACATTTCATATTTATAGAACATATATACGTCAGAAAAACATAAAAATATACGTTTCGGATCTGCTTCAAGCCTTGATAAAGAGAATATCATGCTCACTCATCTTACTTTTCTACTGTTCATTTAAGGTGGGTGATGGTGGTGAAGAGGTGATAGTGGAGAGTCTTACCTCAGCTCCTCTTCAGGTTTGGGTGCACTAAACTGACTCTCTTAATATTTCATTAATTTAAAAAGAAAGAAGGAGAATAATTTTTCTCACAAGTTAGAAAAGCAAAGTTGCACGATTTTAAGGAATATTCTTTTCTTATATAATAATATATTTCGGAATTTTATAAACCGCTTTAAAATCAAAAGACAAATTACACAAGTTCCAGCTTAGCACTCGAACTGTGCACTTGAACAATACCGCAGATATATTCACTCACCTTAGCATGCATCATATACATAAAGACACTCGCGATTTCACTTAATTTTAAACAAAATATTTAATGTTCTCATTTTGTTTCAATTATTGTTGTACGAATGTTATATTATTGATGAATTGAATATGAGTACAGTATATGCACTTGTTAGAGAGAGAGAGAGATTATACACTTGCACATTTTTGTATATTACATAAAAAACTATGCATGATTTATTGACACATTAAAAACCATCATCATAAACATCATAATGCATTAAAACAAAAATTGTATTAGTAAATATTTTACATATTTAAATAAACATCATAAGAGAGCATTTTATCATAAGATTCATTAATTAAAAGAAAAGAAAATTTATAAAGTAGTTTGTAGTTGTTGGAAGTTTATGTGGAAGTGAATATATGATTTAACAATAGGAATAGGACGTATGAAATATGATGGTGAAATGACTATGCATTAAATATACAGTGCATCACAATACTTGTTTAATGATTATTTTCTTGCAAAATTCTTTCTGCATAGTAATTCATGATATTCATCTGTTTAGGTGGCTGAATCCAAACGCTTGAAATCACTCGTTACAATGGCTGGCCCAGATGTTATATGTGTAGGATCTGGAAAAGAATCTCAGGAAGTTCTCAAGGTTAGTCTTTATATATTAATTTAAAATAGTGAGTTCTTAATATAAAACAATGACATATAAGCAATTTAATTATCAGCTTAAACATATTTTCTAAAAATTAGGAGATTTTATGGTTTTTAATAAGAAATAATTCCTTATATCTTTTAAGCACTTTACTACATTTATAAAATTTCAAATTTATAGAGTAATTTTATTTTAATTTAAAAAATAAACTTTTGTGCTGATTTTAATTCGAACCATATTAAATTGAATCGATAATTTTGACATTGTTCCAAAAGATTCATAATATATATTTTCCACATATTTGGAATAAAGATTTTCCTAAAACAGGAATATTGTATAAAAATTTCCCATTTTTATTTCTCTGACTCGAAACACAGAGAATCGAACGGGAGGCAACGTACAGTTACCAAACATTGACTGTGCCTGAGGACGTAGCCGCCAATGTGCTCTACGTAAACGGCACGCTCATTCATCGATCGGAAGACGAGATCCCGCAGTCGAGTAAGGTTTTCGCAGAGAAAGTTGAGTTTCCGACTAGATCGCTACGTATGTCCGAATTGGCAAAAGTTAGCTCCGGTTTGTCCTCCTGTTGCCTGTTGGTGCGCAGACCGCGACACATCCGTAGTATTTAAACGAAAAAAGAGAATGAGATCTACGTTGCAATCTAATCGCGATCTATGCCACCAGTGATATCCACGAATGCAAAACGTAAAATCGAGTTTATCGAATCTGTGGAGAAATACGATGCAATGCATGACAATGACGATACGTCATCCTGACATTTTAATAAGTATTTTTTAACTAATTTAAAGAGTTATTGTATTATTTCATATCTTTCAAGAGAGAGATTCAGTATTTGAAAAGATATAATATATATATACACATATATAATTTTTATATATTTAGAATACAGAAATAATATATTCAAATTTTATATTATTACATATATTATATTGCATTTTTATCTATGCTTTTTGCAAAAAAATCTTTAGACTTGCTATTTATTTAAACTTTTTGTTTTTATATGTAATTTTTATTTTTTGGCTGCAATTAGATATTTATTTAGACGACTTCGTAAGTATTTTCTTGCATTTATTTATTTTTGCAATATATGCAGTTTTCTTTCCTATGATATCCCAAAAATTATAATATAATGTAAGACACATTTACATTTCATAATCTTCGTATAATGAAACATTACAAAGCACATACCATAATACAGCACAAATTCAATTTTATATGAGGAGTTGGAATATTGACTTTTATAGCAATGAATTTTCAATCAAAATTAACTTGTAATTCCAATTATAATTAAGAATGCACAATAGATCATTAGTAATCCGCAAAATTTATACTATTAGGGAAGATATAATAGATATCAGTATTCTGACTCCTGCAATGCATTCGTAACTAGTCGAAAACGTGTTCACATTGAAACATTCAAATAAATATCTCTCTATCATCTAATAATGTATCGTAAAGTTATCGATATATAAAAGCACTGATAGTTGTTATGATGAAACTATGTTATAACAAAGTTAGGTAATTAAATGTTTAAACAGAAATTGGCATAAAACTCCTATATACTAAAATTTGTATGTTTAACATACAAGATAATGCAACATGTTTGATGAATACTTACAATTAGATATTCAATTGCGATATTCAATAAAATAGTATTGCAACATTTAAAAAGGTGCGATATAGGATTGCAATATATCTTGATATATAAACGTTGATATGACAATTTAGCATTTGTACAACAATAATGACATTTAAGTAACCTTATAGCGTGTCTTTATGATGCTTTTACAATTTTCTGTATGTATTTGTTTTACTTTAAACATTGACATTTACTTTTTATACTATTTTTCATGATAAAACTTAGTGCTCATTTAACAAATATTGCCAAGATTATAAAATATACATATATATATATAAAAATAGATAAATCTTTTAGTCCAGTTGTGTAGTATTTACAAAATCCATAGAAATTATGTTCCATATTCAAAGATTGTCAAAGACCATAAATCCATATAGAAATATAGAACTTTTTATGAAAAAATGTGTACATCTGGTCTCCTTCAATATATCAAATAAGGTACAATTTCCCAAATTATGTATAAAAATATTCCCCTTAGAAAGCTTTTAAACATTTCTGTATGTAAGGTACAAATATTTAAGATAAACAGATGACATGACAAACAATAAAATAATACTACAGATTATAGTTGTCATTTTTATAATCATTTACTATAAGTATTTATAAAGTATAATTTTTACAATAAACTGTCGAAATTCCTTCAAAATGGAAGAGTATCCTATTAAATGAGTTATTTAAAAAAATAGTAGTCTCCACTCTATAATGTGACTGAATGTTTTCAGGACATTGCTTATTTTAGGCACACATTCTTCAATAATACTTCACTCTCATTTTTCCACACATAATAATAGACATATATTTGTCATTGGAGCGTTATATATGTCACTGGAGATGTTTTAATTGTCATAATGGTCAATTTTCTCTGTGTGTACAGATGATTAAGGCTCCTGGTCCCGCAGCCGTGAACTCCGCGTTGACAGTAGCGACATAATTGTGGTAGGAATAAAAACCTAGTCGAATTTACCCAGTCGATTTATCGTATAAATAAATAGTGTAACAGTTTGACCTAATCAATTGATTCGATAAAAGTAAATTACTGAATAACATACAAAATGTTAATTTATAATTTAAAAATTTGTTTACAAAAAATAAACGCGATAAATACAGAATATATATAGCTTAGTACCGTTACCGACATGTCCATATGACAGAAATTCTTATGCAGCGTCTTAGGTGGAGAATCGATGAACTATTAGGCGTGAAAAAATGACATGTTGACTACCCAATTTATTCTTGCGTGCCATTTCATTAATATTCGTTAAATGTTAGTACTGTGATATGTGACGTGTTCATGAAACCTGTAAAATTATCCGAAAACTAAGATTAGCAGGGAAAGCCCAACGTAGAAGGAGAATTTTCTACTCATACAGACAGCTGTCAACCGTGTGTTTTCTCGCATAATTAGGCTTCGTTTCACTGTTGATTTAACGATTGTTTATAACCTGTCAAGGAAAAAGCATAGTTTTCGGACAATTTTACAGGTGTCTTAAAGCGATCCAGAGTGTTACTTTGTTAAATTATCATTTTATTTAGAAATGGCACGCAAGAATTCTCGGCGTGTCATTTCTCGCTTCTGACGTCACGAATCTAATATGGCTGCGGTGACTACCCAGGAGCCTTAAGTCTTTCTTTTTGTAATACTGCGGTACACCGTTGTTGTCGCTAATCGTGAGGCGTATTCTCACATAAAAAACTTTTCCATCTGTTTCTTCATCATCACTATGAATAAAATGTTAAAACCGACGTGTGATTGCCCCGAACCAGTAAGAATGGCGGCATGTCGCGCGTGAGCGTCTCTAGCCATGCCATGTATAGGGGCGCGGACACGGCACCTTTCCGAGGCATCGGCAGAGTCCTATAAATCCATTAACAACAACATTAACGATCTATTCTCAGTATAACAAAACATGTGATATAAATGCGCAACTTACATAACGATCAGGTTGGCTTCCATAGAATTTTCAAGTAATAATTCACGCAAACGGAGATGTCTATTGGTCTTCTCTTTCATCGCCATAAGTTCCGAATCTTTAATAATATCTATAATATAAAAGATTATGATTAGATTATAATTGTTGCGCGTATAAATATTTAACAAAAGATTAACGCTTCGTTCATCACCGTCGTCTGCATTTTTCGAATCCGCCGATTCCTGGAAGTCAGTTATTAACGAGTCGAAGAACGTCTTCGTGCTAGCTTGTGCTGGCTTTGAGATGTCCGGTATAACTTTCAGAGCGGAATAGTCTATCCGGAATTTTGAGAGAAGACTCGCCATACTGTGGAAAGTGAATATTAATTATCGAAGATCAACATTGCGAAAGTCATTGTCGGAAGAGGCTTACTTTCTTTGCTCGTACTCCAATTCAGAATTCTTATTTGCCAGAGCGAACACCCTCAATCTGCAATTAGACCAATTGCGCCTTGTGCTGATTATGTAGGGCAATAAAAGCGTCAAGCCACCGTCGTCGTATAACCACCATACATCAATAGTGCCCTTCTTATGCTTCTTTTGAAACTTTGTCACTACATTAAGTATATTCGTGATTGGCACTATATTTGGCCGGTTCTCGCGTTGCTCCTCGGACGGATTGGGATATTCGTTAATCGCCTTCGAACGTCTAGGCGCAGGACTACCGGGTATCGATATGTCAGACGTGCTACTAGCTGCAATGATCATTACTCATTGTTAAACTTTCCAGAAAAAGGAAACGATCACGAGAAAGATAAGATGTAGCTTTTTAACCTTGGCTGAGCTGTGAAAAGCTTTGATTGCCCGGTATCGATGTAGGCGCGAGTCTCCTTTGATCTTCAACATCTCCAATGATTCCACTGCAATCTAAGCCTTCTTGGAGCCGCAGAAGTGCCACTGCTATGTGCATATCAAGAGCTTTGCTGCGAGAAAAAAATTATTAAAGCTTTATAGCCTTTGTAAAATTACGATACGACACAAGTAGTGCGCAACGACTTACTGCATAACGTTGAAGTACATATTCAAATTCTCCCGTGAACAGGTGGCCCAGTCTTGCTTGTAACCCATCAGCAGGATGTTGGGTCTCATTTTGCCAAGTCCAGCGGCTTGCAGGAGAGAAGTAGCACCGTCCTGGAAACTCGCGCCGTCCACCAAAGAATAAAATGCCTTGATTTTATTTGCTCTGAACCAGGAGTTACAATTCTGTGTCATGTTGTTGCGTGTCTTGTATGATATAGGCGTCTGAAGCACACGAATACGTATACATTAAAACATTCTGTCAAATAAATGGCTTAAGGCTCCTGGTCCCGCAGCCGTGAACTCCGCGTTGACAGTAGCGACATAATTGTGGTAGGAATAAAAACCTAGTCGAATTTACCCAGTCGATTTATCGTATAAATAAATAGTGTAACAGTTTGACCTAATCAATTGATTCGATAAAAGTAAATTACTGAATAACATACAAAATGTTAATTTATAATTTAAAAATTTGTTTACAAAAAAATAAACGCGATAAATACAGAATATATATAGCTTAGTACCGTTACCGACATGTCCATATGACAGAAATTCTCTTATGCAGCGTCTTAGGTGGAGAATCGATGAACTATTAGGCGTGAAAAATGACATGTTGACTACCCAATTTATTCTTGCGTGCCATTTCATTAATATTCGTTAAATGTTAGTACTGTGATATGTGACGTGTTCATGAAACCTGTAAAATTATCCGAAAACTAAGATTAGCAGGGAAAGCCCAACGTAGAAGGAGAATTTTCTACTCATACAGACAGCTGTCAACCGTGTGTTTTCTCGCATAATTAGGCTTCGTTTCACTGTTGATTTAACAATTGTTTATAACCTGTCAAGGAAAAAGCATAGTTTTCGGACAATTTTACAGGTGTCTTAAAGCGATCCAGAGTGTTACTTTGTTAAATTATCATTTTATTTAGAAATGGCACGCAAGAATTCTCGGCGTGTCATTTCTCGCTTCTGACGTCACGAATCTAATATGGCTGCGGTGACTACCCAGGAGCCTTAAGTTAATGAGAACGAAACGAGCGATACCTCAATGATATGACCGCAAATGAATAAACTTTGATGCTTCGTGATATGATGTGCAAAGTCAACCAGCGAGGATCTCGCATTAGGCGCGCCGGTGAGAACCAAGAGTTGCGGTCTGTAATTTTTCACGTGGTCCTCCACACGATCTAATTGCTGCACTGCTGTCAACGCGTTGTTGTAGGTCTGCGCTTGTGTAGTTGAACCCCAATTGACATCTATAACATATTAATTGATGAGAACGGTGTATCGTGAAACGCAAATGACGTAATGTTTTTTTCCGACGCTTAGATAAAAATAAATAAAGGCCTATTGAAATTACCGGGCTTTCTATATGAAACCACTAAATACAGCGCTAAAACTACGCATAACGTTATTAGAGCCGTCCACCATGAGATCAGAAACATCACAGCCACGCAAAGGATAGCGCCAGCAAGACTGAGCCACATGTTGTAATACTAAAAAAAAGTAGCAACGATTATTGCCAGACAACAAGAATATAACATATGAAAACATAATAATGCTGTAAATGTATCATCATATTATCGTACCTTGAATGTTGGCCGCCATCCGATTGGTTTAGCAAGAGAAGCATGGAAGGTACTGAAATTAATGAGAGTGTAAGCTGCCAAAAAGAAGTTCGAAATCAGTGGCGCGATCGCGTTCAATTCACCTGAAAAAAAAATCGATTTATATATTTCTGAACGAAACAATTTCTCGGTAAAATTATTGATTTTTTTATCACTTACCGATCAAAATAAAACCGACGGCAATGATGAAAGTGAGAAAATAACCACGGATTGGCTCTTTATCCTTCTTTCCGCTGAACCACGCGATTCCCGGATATAACTTATCGAGACAAAGCGCTTGGAATACTTTCGGCGCTGAGACCAGCGATGCTAAGGCACTTGAAATTGTTGCAGCGAAGCAGCCGGCATAAATGATGGGACCGAAGGCGGAAACCAATTGAATTACCTACAATAGTCGTTAACATCATTCGCCTATTTCAATTTTTGCCTTCAATTTTATTTTTTAACACTCAATATCTGCTATATCTTGCTGCTATAAATTTTTATATATCACTCATCATTGATTCAATTATTTCAATAAATTGATTTTAATTAAAATCCTCAGAAATGAATTAATAATTATTAATAAGTATATAAACACACCTCGAAGCTGTTGTGGCTTCCGTATTTACATCCTGAGGTACAATTAAAAGCCGTTCCATATATCCAGGTGCGATTAACAACTGTACTATTTTCGATTGCGGTGTCATTGCTTATATCAAGTATCGACAGACCCGGAAAAGAACCATTGTACGTCTCCCATAAATCATTAACATTGCCAGACGCGTCTCGTATAACGGTACCTCCGACCATAATCGCCATCAGCAGATATGACAGCGATGTCAGAAGAATTGCCAATAGCGTGCCTTTCGGTATCGCTGATTGCGGATCCTACAAAAATCAAAATAAGATTTTTAAGCATTTCAGCGGCATTTTGCAGTCATTATAATAAGGAAGGAATTCTCGCTAATTTTTCGGGACGATTAAACACGAAGCGCAAATTTCTTTATTATTTATCTTGTAAGAAAATAACTTTTACACTTTAAAGAAAGCCATTCTTGAATGAACATACAAATTAACGAGTAGTTAAATAAATGATAATTACATTCTATAAAGTACCGAGTCAAGGATTAATAAATATAAATATTTCCTATATAAAGTACTAAATCACCTTCAAGTCACCGGATATATTCGCACCTGCCAGGATGCCTGTCGCCGCTGGGAAGAAAATGGCCAAGACTGAAAAGAAATTGTGTTGCACGCCCTCGCTGTATCGGTAGTTCGGATAAAAATTCTCCTTGAAGAGTTTAGCTGCGCATCACGAATAAATCACAAAATTAATATATGTATAAATAATTCTGTCTGTTAATAATGATAATAATTCGCAAAGCAGTATCGGAAAAAAGTACGCCATGAAAAATATTAATACGACATTACTATTGTATCCAATGAATCCTTTAGCTTTCTCCTCTGTGCCTTTAGGACCCACGAAGGTGCCGATCATGAAATCGACGATAGCCAAGAGAAGGATTATCAGTAAAAATATTTGAGCCTTTGCCTCCCATTCCAGGCCGATTATCACAATTATCAGCAGCACAACTATCGTTATACAGCCTGCAAATTCAATACAAACGTTATTGACATTACACTCGATGTAATTTAAAAAGCACGAGTTAGAAATGTATAATAGAATATCGTGTAATACTTATATAAATAATTTTTACATGCAGTAGAAAATAAATATACAAATTTCTCAGAATTTGAGTGATTTAAATGGCGCGAGCGCTTACAGACCTATGATTCTGATATCTGTTGTCGCACAATCGACTATGCAAGCCTCGAAATAAGAACTGAGAAAATCCACCATGCTCTCGCAGAATCCAACCACGTACATGGAACAGGCGACAGCGTTCGCTAGGGAAAATATGAGACCTATGGAACCGCCAAACTCGGGTCCCAATGATCTGGAAATCATGTAATAAGTTCCACCTGCGGAAAATAAAAGAACAAGATGATGTGCACGCTTCAATCGATCATGTTAGCCGCTGTCGCGTCGATAATCCGTCAAAACGATTTACATATGTGCAAACAATTATTAATTAACACGTTACATTATTTGTCGCACAAAGAAATTAATAAGGCGATCATCAGCTTTAATCATCTTTCTTTCTTCTTGCAAACTTTTAACTTAAGATATACAGTATGATTCATTTTCTCTTCGCTCCGTCTGTCTTTCTCTAAATTGATTTAATTCTAATCCCGATGTAAAAAATCTCCAACAAAATTTAATCTTCATTCTTTAGCTAGCGTTATATTGCATACCTCCTTTAATGAGACCATTCGTGCTGATTGCTGACATCGACAAGGACGTGATCGTCGTGACTACTGTTGTTGTGAGAATCAATAAAATAGCTTGGCCTGGAACGATATCAACAACATTAGAATGCCAGGAATTTAATTAATACCGACGACGGGACACTCACCTACACCGGTCTGCGCTACGACCCAGGAAAGCCGCAGGAAGAGCATCACCCCCCAGATATTGAGGAGACATCGCATCAAAACTCCTTGGATCCATCCGAATTTCACCCTGGTCGTCGTGGATTTCAAATGCGGAACGTTTAACGTATGTGAGCCCGAGCCCTGAAAATAATCGTTCGATAAACCAAGTGGTTGAAGAGCAGTTTTATTCCGCAAGTTATATATAGACTTATTCAAAATCATGGTATGTCTTTCGGACACGATGATCGACACTGTCAAAATTTTTGTAGTTCTTTAATTATAACGAATGTTAATACAAAAGCCACTTTCGTAGAAAGTGACTTTGTTAATAAGTCTCTCTCTTTCTCTTCTTCCTTTTGACTTTTAATTGTCTAAGTCGCTTCCGCTTCGCATAGTTACATGTTTTCGCGATGCGAACGTGCGACAATCTACAGAGCTGACAATGCAGTGAAATGCAAGAGGGTGCAACTAATTGCAACTAATTGCAGTCGCGGCAAAAGAACGCAATAAATAACACACTGAAATTAAATGTGCAAAAATTATAATATACTAATTGTAATATATTTTTTAAAATAAAATTTTAATTAAATTTTTACGAAATTCTTCTCTCTCTCTTTCTCTCTTACACATTTAATTTCAGTGTGTTGTTTATTGCGTTCTTTTTCCGCGACTGCAATTAGTTGCACCCTCCTTGCATTTCACTGCATTGTCAGCTCTGTAGATTGTCGCACGTTCGCATCGCGAAAACGTGTAACTATGCGAAGCGGAAGCAGCTTAGACAATTAAAAGTCAAAAGGAAAAAGAAAAAAAGAGGGACTTATTAACAAAGTTTCTTCAAGAAATCTCGGGAAATGCTGCAACTCGTGTACGATGAAGAGATCGCAGATCTTTGCCATGCAAATCGCATATCGCGTAATCGCGCCCATAAAAGATCCGGATGCGATTTGCTCGTAATTATGCGAGGAATTATGCTCCGCCGTGTCGTCGGGATGATGTCTTCATCAATCCCGATGGGTAATTGACGTACGGAAAGGCTCCAAGGACGGCGCTCTAAACGGATCCGAACGATTTCTTGCGATAAGACGGCAGCGTTTAGGTGCAATCTCGCGCACTGGCGAGACGCATAATAATGCATTTACGCGATCTCGCATTCTCGCGAAGCAATTGGGAGAGCCGGTAGGATCCGCGCCGGCAGATTAGCATATAAATTAAGATTTAAAGACGGTCATCGAAGGTGATTCTGATCTAGAGAAAGGGTCGCCAATGAAGTCTAACGATTTATGTAACCGAGTCTCACGTCGCCGGCGACTCACGTCCGCGACGACATCCACGTGATGTCGAGAAATTTTTCGTGAATTGCACGCGAGCATGCAAGGTCGTTCAATGAAAAAAAAAATTGGATATTCTCGATTGCTCATTTGAAAAATGTGAACGTTTCGCTCTTTGTGTTTTCTTGAAAAATATTACTTTATTATGTTTGAGTCAATGATTAATGATTTCCGGACGAAGTGGCCTTCGCTGAAAGTTTCGCGGAAGTCTCAAAACTGGTGAATAATCGAACTGAAATATTTAAAATGTCAACGCAATTAAAATTAATGTGACAATTCTGAAGAATTGTTCAACAATGTACATTGTCAGATGAGTAATTAATAGCAAGCAATTGAATGTGATCAATTTTTAATTGCTTTCAAATCGATTTTGATTGGATTGCAGCTTATCTCTCCAATGCTTTATGTGGCTCTCTTCTGGACGAACAATTAATTCATTCTATGATTTATCGTTACATCTTCTAATTGCCTTGTCTTGAATTTAATAATTGCAGAATTATCTATGCGCATTTCCACAGACCAGAACCTATTCTGCACTACTTTGCCTTCTGCTTTCGAAAAGTCGCCAATTTCCTTAATTTTTTATCGTGATGTAATGAATAAAAATATATAAATTTTTCTCTAATAATTATTATTATTCTCTAATAATAATTAAAATTAGCTTTAATTATTAAGATTTTTATTGAAAATTTTATGAACAATTTTACATGAAGCTGCCGTGATTCATTTATGTGCTTTGCGAAGGATTTTTTTGAAAGCTTTGCGAAAACTACATCCGAAATCTTTTCCAGAGCGCATCTGGCACGAATCAAGCATATCTAGACACGCATAAATCATACGATCGTAAATAGTTTACGACCGTATGACACAGAAGAAGAATAAAGATCCTTTATAAAGGAAAGTCTGTTCTCGCATACTTTTTAGTATGCATTCATACATATTCTCTGCTACATACAACACGAGTATAATCAAATAATATCCACGCCTATTTCTCAGGAGGCCCGCGATTTATTCAGAGCACTTTGCTGGATTCGTTGATACTAACATATCAAGCTATAAGTGCTATTACGTGCGAGAAGCCACGTAATAGATAATTCTGAATAAATCGGGATACGTTTGTGGAAAAGTCTTGATTAGGTGTTGCTGTGATCGAGAACTGAACTGATGAGATGGATCTTCGTTCCAAGTGCTCTAGGTATTTCGTAAAGGTGGAAGGTTTTATTGAAGGAAAAAAGTTTTATTGAAGCGAAAAGGTTTTATTGAAGAGAAAGTGCACGTTATGCACAGTAGTTAGGCTAATCTACGTTTTTTTACAATTATAAAAGGGTCATTTCTTTAAAGTCCGGAAGGAATAAAGAGAAAAATGGTTTGAAAGTCCGAATAAAAAAGGTAATTTAAGGAACAAGAAAGTTGCGGCACGTAACAGTGCGCGATTGAACTGACTGATTCATAAAATCATGGATCGCAGAGAGTTAATTTTGAAAAAACGATTTACAAGAAACATTTCCGATAATTTTTCAGAGATTTATAGTAAAACAAAACAAAATTTTTTACGTTTGCAGATTTTGATAAATTATAATCATAGGTTTCTTTTATCAAGTTAGAAATGTTAAATATTAGTTTTATTTACGTTTTTGTTGATTCGCCAACCTAATTATTTTCCGCGTTTTCGAAAGTCATTTAATATTAAATGAGATTAAATTAGGATTTTTTTACGACATATTTGCGATATCTCTTGTAATACAACGCAAAGTCAATATAAATGTATTACGTACCACAATACATTCTTAAGTGGATGAAGTAGTATTAAGAATAAATTTCATGTGCAAATAGCGGTGTAAGTGATGTTTGCATGAAGACAAAAAGCTATTCACGTCTTACATTTAGCGTCAAATGCGACTGTTTGATTTTAAGCCGCGAGATAATATTGTATTTTCACGCAACGCAAATCAAACTGAGAATCAGACAATTTTAATACTAAATGTCAAGTGTGAATACAGATCGATTGGCTAATGAATATAAAATTACAAAAATGTTACTTATCGTTACTTTGTACTCAAGGTTCTTTATTCAATTTAATTTATATCAAATTTTTATCAACACGCCACATTTCTGTAGCAAAATATTAGATAACCAAAAAATATCGTGTGCTTTTCTTAAATTTAATTTAATACAAAAAGTCGCATAAACTTTTTTTGTTACTTGATATATCTGAACGCTTCTGTAAGCGATGCGTCATTTTTTCGACAGGGGTTTATTAAATTCTTACCTTTGCAATTAACACTTAAGTCCAATTTAATCATTGGTACACGAATTTAATTAATTAACTCTTTTTTTCATCTGTATTATATAGAGCTACGCTCCAGAAAGAGATAAGAAATCGCTAATTATAGTCAATTAATAGGATCAGACTGACCCAAAAAGTCGCGTCATATGACAAGACATGTGAGAGAAATGCTCAATTATCAACAGTCTAGTTACGGCCAGAACTCGTGATGTGAACTCGTTTGTCTAATTATCGCGATAGTCATCGATGCAACACATGACAAACGAGTTCGCTTAATCTCCCGAGTGTGAGATATTTCTGGATTAATTTCGCGGGTAAGAATTACGTTGTCTTAATGACGCACACGAGCTGATGAGACTGTCTTGGCGATATTTGTCATCATCTCGAGCAACCGAGTTTAATTGCCCGGGCAAACGTGAGGGTCTCCGCGTTGACCCAACCGTTACGGGCTATATGGAAGGATCGTACGATTTCATATGCGTATACCGTAATCTTCGTCTGAAAAACTTCCTCGCTCACATATATGACTAATGGCGCAACATTTGTTGCATAGATAATTCGACTTAACACGTTGAGGCGCAACGCGCTTTCTATACATTATTCGCATTACCTCAGCGCGATGTAAATGTATTCACGATTTTGTTTATTTTATTATTTATGCAGTTGCAGTATACTTTTGCAATTAAAATGTTGAGCGCAAATTTTTCCTTTTTTCTTAGCTACGTTAACATGTACTTCGTTGATTATTCCGAACGTAACTTAATTTAAATATTAAAATATTGTTAATACTTTTTATTATATTAAAAGATATATAGACTACGCACAAAAATTAGAGGAGCACTTGAAAACCTGCAAATTTTGTCGATTTTTAAAAGGTTGCATCTCAGCTTCCAGAGATCGCAGGATAATTTTTCTGCGTGCGTTTTGAAGGGTGAAACCTCTACTTTAAAGCAGGTAGCGTTAGAGTCCTGGAAAGTTCCCGACTTTAAAACTGATGTGGTGATATTTTTCGCCTCGTCCTTGCTTTGCCCGTGGAAGGCTACAAAGTCATGAAATTTCCAGGACTCTAACATTACCTGCTTTTGATCTTCACAAAAAAAGACAGTTTAATGGGACGGAAAATATCTCTTAAGCCATTTTAAAGTAGAAGCTTCACCCTTCAAAATGCACGCAAAAAAATTATCCTGCGATCTGTGAAAGCTGAGATACAGCCTCTTAAAAATCGACAAAATTTGCAGGTTTTAAAGTGCTCCCCCAATTTTTGTGCGTAGTGTATTTTCAGTTACATTAAAAGTAATAAAATATTTCGACCTTTTTTACAGAATTCTAGATATTTTGCAATTTTAGTATCACATGCTTTCCGATCGCTTTCGCGTAACTTATTGGCACAGAAAGTTTCACCGATATTTATGCTATACAGGGTACGCGCCGTGATCTACGTGACGCTTTTTCTAAATTTGTTTAAATATACACTAATTCTCCGTGACCTGATATGCAATCGTGTCATTCCTTCACGTAAACGATTAATGCCGGTCGTGTGGTTTTATCCCCTTTCTCTTTAGCCACAAGTCCTTCTCGTATGCGCCGTCCAAATTGCCTTAAAATTGCGTTGTATAAAATCTATGAAGTATTATTGGCAGTAAAAAAAGCTTCATGTCCGCCGCCGTTATGTTCGATTGAATTTTTTATGTCAAGAAGCCCGTATGTTTTCTGCCAATTACGTAACATGGAAATCACGCGAAATAGCGAAATAAAAATATTTAAAAAATTTAGTTCCCAAAGTTTAAACATATGTATGATATTTATAAAATATGAAAAAGATTTGTTGATTATTCTAATGTTCAAATTGTAGATTATATTTGTAAATACTATTTTTTTCTCGAGATATTCATAAAATATTTATCGCGACAAGAATGCAGTCTTCATAACAAGATATCATTTACAAATGTTCACGAATATCAGGCAAATTCGCACGTTATTCTCGTCAGCGTCTGCAAGATTTTAACTGCTGAGCAAACAAAAATTTTCCTGCGAGTGATGTCCGGTGGAAATGAAACCGAGCGTGACCAAAAAACTCGATGACACGATCGTATTCGAAGTATCAAGGACAATCGGTATTCACTTCACGCTTGGATAACGATTTTGTCGTCTCGGGCCAATGCGTAACTGAAAACGCATACTGTGTGCAGAAAAGCAATGAGTCATTTCACTATCCGCATTAATTTACTTAAAAATGCGATACGCGTATAATTGCAATCGTTGCGACATCAGAAAGCAATATTTTCAATTAAATTTCTCGTAAGATCCAAATTATTTAATTCAAAAAGTATTAATGCGTTAATTATTGAAAAAATCGCGAAGTAGATTTAAAAAAACTGTGAAAAAATTTAATAAATTATTTAAAACAATATTTATTAGAAAATTGAGTAATTGTGTAAAAGCAGAAGTGATATTTGCTTGAATTTAATTGTCTACACTGTTGCGATTAGTGTTATATGCCATAAATTTGGCACGATTCTCCTAGAAATACAGACTACGCACTTAAAATTACTCATTGCAAATATTTGACGTCGCGTTTTACCAGTGTTACACCGTTTGATAACGGTAATAATCTGGTGACGTAAAATTGTGTCATCGTCGACACATTGTCACGTACGGCAATAAAGATTCAATGGCACGTTCCATATTCATATTTGCGGTATCACGCTTCCGATTCCATTCAACGGAAAAAACAAGTTTTTCGCCGGCTTGCGCCGACGAAAGAAAGCGTCAGACGCTAGACGAAACCTCGATGCCACATTTGTATTTAACCGCGGGTTAATTGCACAATTAACAATCTGTGCAACCGTTAGCAATGATTTACGACTCATTCGAGCGAGTATAATTAATACCGCGTGTTTGGCTCGCTGAAAAAGCACGTGCTGCGCTATCGTATTGCGCGCTGTACGCGTTATTCGCACTGGCCACCTCAGGAAAAAATATGTATATCAATGATAACGTAGTTCAATGAACGTAAAATTTTCTGTAGCGTAAAATTTCGCATCGCGATTAAATACAAATAAACAAAAATTAACGATTGGGGAGAAAATCTGTTTTGTCGCCGGTACGCGCTTTATTGGTGCACTTTGGTACACGTGTGCCTATCGCAGAAACATATTTGAGTGCAATCTTACGCGACGCATACCAGACTGCAGCCCGCATACGGCTTGTTTAAATTTAGATTAATTCTACGGGTGCGAACGAGGCCGCGCGTAGATAACGGATGAAAAAGTGAGAAGCGGGTGAATGTCAGTGTACGCGTGCGATGTGTCTGCCACGCAAGAATCCGCACCACGTATTTATAATCAAGGATTCACAGTCAATAGAGACTCGCGTTTATCCGATATCGATGAGCGTGTACGCGCATCAATTTTTTTGCAGCGCCGTTTTTCCACGTACGATTTCTTATATTTCTTGTTTTGTGACCGAATGATTGTTCCGAGAAGCCCATTATGCAATTCGACACGTGTCGCTATCAACATGACGAATTTTTATCTCGAGAAATCTTTATACGTAAAAAAAAAGTATCGATTTTTACGCGTTGATAAGTGAACAAATATAAACGCGCATGACACACAGTTTGCGGATTTTCCTCGTGATGTATCACTTATTACCATTATAGAATTTGGACTTATCAGCGTGCCTCGCATTTTATTATTGTGTCGCAACCATGTGGAATATTAAAGTTTCGCACTCGTGTGCAAATTTGCATTGCGACGTCATCAGATTATCATATAAAATGTCGTATCAAAGAATTACGAACGATGTAAATAAAATTCTAAACCGATATCGTGATCATTTTATGCTGTAGTCGTATGACTTTGTTGCAAATATTTATTTCCTTGGTAGATTAACTCAGTTTTCATAAGCAGTTATTACATAAAATCAAAATATTGCATAAACTGATGTGTAAAGTTCAATTAATAAAATTTTTACTTTCTCATCAGAAATGCAGTATCACGGAAAATCACCTTCAATAATCGAGCAATCGCAAATTATGTCTATTAATTTTATTCAAAATTTAACTGAAATTTGAAATAAATTTCCCACATCGCACGGCGCTATTCAAGTTGTCTCAAACATGTCTTGCTGAAGAGACTCGCAAATAATATTGCCTTCGGAGAAGTCATTACTCACCTTGTTGAGGAGAGTGGGATTGTGCAACTCGTCCAAGGAAGGTCTATGGGCCGCCTGGATGCTCATGATGTTCCTGTAATTGTCTAGCCTCGGCAAGGCTTCCCTGGTCATGTGCCTGAGGGACTTCTTTGTTTCCTGCTCGCCCAAGAGACTGGCGCGACCTTCGAGACTGTCGACCCGATTCACGTGGAATCTGGTTCTCCTCAGAGGATTTAGCTCCACCGACTCAGAGTCGGTATCGCCATTTATCCCGTTTTCGTGTGCCATGTTTCTGCTTCTTGTTACTACTTCTTCGTGAACTCCTTTTCTTTCCACTCGTACGGCGGCTTGAGAACCGAGTGCGATTTGATGACTCGACGATCGAGTGGCTGGTTATACAATAGCCGATCAAACGACAATCTAATTTCTCTCCGGTTTCCTCTTCAGGAATTTATTGATTCGTTAAAGTGGTTATTCGATAACACCAGCCGCGGGCACCTGTCGATAATCAATATTCAAATATATTATATCTGTCCTTTTATTAGAAAAGTATAGACATAGTTTTTAAATATTTTAAATTTCAAAATATTTTCGAGAAATAATCGAAGTACTAAGCGTTTTGTTAAGTAAAGAATGTCCTAAGTTATGATTCTTAAAATATACATCCTAATTTATAAAACTTTACAACTGTGTATATGATATTTTAGAATGTATACTTTAAATATTAGTCAAATAACAGTTATGCGAAAATATTTCGTTTATTATAAAACACAGCAATTTAGTCACATTAGATTAACGTAATGATTCATCAGGTTAATCAAGTGTGCCCTGAACTCATAAAACGCTTGTTTACATTAATTGCATCTATATTTGAATAGCCTGCGCGTCACAAAAATCAATTAAAATTATGATTATAATTTAATTGATTTTGATGATTAGAATTTTTCTGAGAAGTTTCCGTTATGCCGGTATTTTTACTTTCGACAAATGGATTTTTTCTTCGTCCAAGAGAGAAATTCTAGGAAACTTATAAGAGGTTCAAGGTAAAATACGCTATAAGGAGATAGACTTTGTTGGCCTTGTCCACTCGGCAGCAATTAAGTAACGAGCACCTCGTGGGTGTGCCAATTATGAAATTACCCTTACCCCGTAACGTCGCGGCGATTATCTCTGCTCCCGTTAATGTACGATTTATCTAATAACCAAATAAGCTGCGCCTTTATGCGCAATTTTCCGCATCCGCGACACATCGCTCTGTTTCCACGCGGATGCACTTAAAGGCACGCGTGTGACGGCGTTTTCCGGCACCGGCGGTTGGTTTCCTAGCGAATCATTGTCACCGTCACAATTATAAAGCCAATAACTCGTTGTCCTTAATTAATAAAAGGATTTACGGTGTATGCACTTTTCGCATAAACGCCGAGAGTATAATCCTGAATTTATTACAAATATAAAGTTATTATTATTATTTTAAGCGAACGTCGGAAATTTTTATATGCTTTGAGAAAAAAATGTAATTATAAAGAAACTATGCAACTATGCAATTATAAGAAATATAATTTCTTCTTTGTTTCGAACCGTTGCAAAACTTCGGAAAATTATTTCTATTTTTATATGTTATTTAAATTCTATATTTTTGAAACGCGTACGCTACAATTAATTATATGTCAATTAAATTGATTATACGTCTTTTCTAAAATTAGACTTTGTATACACGTTATACCTTCAGATAAATAAATACATACTGTTCGCTGCAAATTACACCATTGCGATGCGCGAGATCGACTGATGCCGATTGGTGTAATACGACGCGGTCGCTGTGATGTACGTATTCCGATAGAAAGGTAATTACACGCGAGTGTGGCTAATTAATTCGACAGGTTGCCGGTGACATCTCAATTTAACCTGTCTGTATGTTTCGTGAAAGATCGATGCGTGAACGTCAATGTAATCTCTTCCATTGCGCGATTATTTGCGCCGCGCTAGCGGATTGGCCGTGAATGTCGCTGGCTTAATTAACAGCTAAGCAAACGGTGCGATCTATAAAACGTGCGTATTTACGCACGCGAGATCGAACTGTTTGCCTTCGTCGATGGCGCCTTTTTATTAGCGCAGTCGAACGAGCGGATGCGGAATATTGTCGGGAGCGCGTTTTAAGGCCGCCGCGGCGCCCGCGAGACGCAAGCGGCGAGATAAATCGTCGGCAGTTAGGCGATTTATTTGGCGGATTGCATCGACGCAATCTACATATCGCGATGCAGCGTCCAAAGGTGAACTTTGATCTGGGCGAGTAAAAAAAAAACGCGAACGTAAAACTTGGATGTCATCTGAGAGATATAAAAAATAATTTTAAAAAAATTTTAATATTTACAATTAAATTATGAAAATATATAGAACAAATGTGTGTAAATATAGAATAAAAGCACGCGATCACATTATTTGTATGAAACATCCGACACAACCGACAGCAAAGTAATCGAGACAACTCTTTTTTTAACAACTCTGAAGATAAACCCAATGTTTAATGAATGAATTTATTTGCTGAAGACAAAAATATCGCTAGCTGGAATTAAAAGAAGAATAAATATTGGACATCAGATGTTTCGAAAGTTGTTACCAGAAAAGTGTTTCCAATTTTTTCGACGCCGACAATACAATTTTATAAATATCACCTCTTCAATAAACGTCATCTGGTTTACTTTGGCTTCTATAACAAGCGCGAGATAAGTGTGACTCCAAAATTCGCAAGCTTATAGATTTAATGACAAGTAGATTCTTTCTGCAATTCGGATGATTATTGGAAAGCGTTAAAATAATTCCACGGCGAGATGTAGACGTGACGAAATTATTCTATCAACGTATACTTACAATCGCGGACGGTCGGCGATAAAATATGCCAATCATTAAGCCGCGCCGTCGTATATTCGAATATATTACGAGTCGTATCCGTAATTTTCAAATCATGTGATTTTACGGCAAATCACGGCAAATAATTTTCAAATCATCATCTAAGAATACGACAGCGCGTGAAGAATATCTAATACCGTCGCATTTCTTAAGAACATGCGCATTGATCAATTGTAGGAAAACGTTCAGCAACAGATTCAGCAATTTTATTCGAAAGAAAAGCCTTATAAATTAATAGCATCAATTTCAATAACAGCGATTAACTGGCGTTACTTGTATCGCTTCCGATATTATTTTACTATCTTAATTCAATATTTTTTAGTAAAAAAATATCGTTCAGCGCTGCGCGTCGATGACCAATTTTTATCCTGTGAATGTACGAAGGGCTTAAATAGAACCGAATCTGATGAAGAGTGGTTTAAACCGGTTTACACTCGAATTCAAATCCATGCTTGATTGATGGGAATCTTTATTAAACTGTTTGAGAACGCACTCTCATTCTGAATCTGCCACTATGTGAACCGGGTTTGGTTTTGAATAAACCAGTTTGAGGACTCGAACTGGGTGTAAATTATTCAACGATAAATCACAACAATGTAACGGTTCGTTAACCGCTACTTTAGTCATTATTAACGTAAAATCTATACGTGTGCTATAAAAAAGCAGCTGCCAAAGAAAAACGAAAAATTCTTTAAATTAAGTCCTGAACTTGGAATCTGCAATTATTCGATTTTATTTTATTTTATTGTAACGACATTGGCAAAAAATTATTGCTTGAATGTTCTTAGCAGACTTCGATGGAACTGCTGTGTTCCAACTTATCTGAGAAAAATGTAATGCACACCGGCGCTACGCTATTTTCAGCCACAATCTGCAAGTAAAACAATCATTCAGTGCAATTGGAATTACAAACTTTCATGTAAGACAACTTTGATGAGAAGATAGCTAGGTATGTGGCTCCAATACATGCATGTCTATCTTTTTTTTTCCTTTTTTTTTAAGGAAGCATTCGTTGCGAGCAGCAAAGCGTTACGAGCATCATCAGCCAGCGATGCTTGGCTACTGAAATTTCCGAGAGAAGTGGTTTTATTGACTAACCTGTTCGTAACCAATTATACGATTTGTAATAAAATATGCTAAAATATTATCTTGATACTTGGTAAGTGTCAATAATGTATTGATACTAAAATTAGTCAGAATACTTCAAATCTTTGCGCAGAAACTATTTTTATCGTAAAATTGTATTATTTTACATTGCAAATAATTCATATGAAAAAATAAAGTATTTTAAAATTCATTAAATTACAAATTATTTCTTGTCGTAATTTAAGCATGATTAAACTTAAATATAACTTGTGCGAGCGACCAAAATCAAAATTTGACACGCGTAAGTTGAGATAAGCGCATTTTACAATGTCGCAACAAATTATCCGTTAGTATATCGAATTTGTTTACGTAACTGCTCCAAAATCTGTACCGCTTCCAAATGATCAAATAAATATCATTTAAGCCTCCTTGTATATCTTAATTTTAATTTTTTTAATTTAATTATAATTTTAATTTTAAAAAAGTATCTATTATCTTTACTAATTAATTATTATCAACATAAATATCGTTTTATTCTTATAAAAGTAATAAAATTTTAATTTCAAATGAATTAACAATCACGATTCGGATTATATCTTTGCCAAGAATAAATCGAATGCAAATTATTCCAAGAATCAACTTCTATTCAAGAATATCTCTCTGAAGACAACCAGTTATTTAAAAGACTAGATTCACGTTTTAACATTGATGTGATCGTCTATTCTAATCGCGAGGTCTAAACTGTAACGATGACAAATAATCGGCTTTGGAGTTTCGAAAGACTTCGAGGAAACATCGAGGGTTTCCCCTCGAGCGAGAAAAAGAAAGAAATATAGACATTCAAGGAACTCGACGGAATTCGCTCTACTCGCGGCCACCGCCGTCGCCGCTTTTTGCTTCCTGTCACAGCATTTCCCACTAAATGAGATAAGAATCGCACTTATCTGAGCGATTCGACCGCGAAATCTCCAGTAGCGATTGCTCTAAACATTGACGTCAGAATAAATTCTGATGTCAATGGCTCCAAAAGCTGATCGAGTTCTTGCTGCCAGATTAATCATTCATATCGAATTTATACGTAAAAAATGTTAAAGAATTTTAATAACTTTTAAAATTCAAAATTAATTTTTTTACAAGTATAAATCGTATCTCTCTAGAAATTTTCGGAATAAAATTTATCTTTTCTGGGGAAAGTTTACGTGAACATAAATAGAAAGAGTTGTAACAGATTCTAGCACCGTTAAAAATTCCACCATGGCTGAAAAAGATGTAACATCATGAATAGCTATGAATAGCTGTAGCGAAGAAAATTTATACGGGACACGAGTTCCACGAAAGCTGAACAAAACGTTGAATCTTTTCTCGAAACTCCAAAACGGCTACATTTAGTTCTAAATACGACGTTGACCTGAGAAAAAATATAGAGAACATGTGTACGGATGTGAGAAATCACATTCTATAGGACGAAACCAGAGGATCCTGCCGATCATGTTTACCCTTTCATCTCGCCGTCAATTACCATTCGCTTCGAAAATTCACGATCGCCGTAGCCAGAACCGGCGCCTTCGGATTTCGCCTCTATAATCGAAGGTCGATGTCCTATTTTACACAGCGACTTTGCAGCCTTTCGCTCCGCTCTTTGAATTTCGCCTTTAAACGAAGGCCGGGTTGCTCTCTTATTAAGACTTTGCAAACTTATGCTTTACTTTCTGATTTTGTCCTCTGCAATCGAAGGTTGCGCCCTGTTTCCTAAAGCGAGTTTTTTGCATACTGCTCCGTTCTTTTTATTTCGTTTTAAAGACATGAAGAACCGAGAATGATGAATGAGGTAACTTCGCGGAACAGACAAGATTTTCATTTTTTTTATAATTTGTGTCAGAATAAATAGGAGAAAAAAACTATCAGAAGAAATAAAGTTCTTAAATTTCTTTAAAAAATAAATTAGCATGAATTTTTACGAAAGTCTTAAGCGTATTTTGCAGTTTTATATTTTGTCTCAGATTTATTCCAAATAAAAATTGACCGATGAGAAAAAAAATGATAAAAATGCAAAGAGTGGACTCGCTTCTCGGACAAAGAAAAAATTAATACTCTTCCTAAAATTTCGTTAAGTAAAAGTTGAAAGACCAGACGAAGTGTGCATGATAGAGAGACAAGGCGATGAATCATGCGTAAAGCCGCTTTGCGGAACAGAGGATACAGAAAAGGCGGACGAACTTCAAAAATCACCGGCGCGCTTAGCAACGCCGCCCGATCGCGAACAGTGCTGCGGCCTTTATAGCAAATGCAAGCGCGTTTCCACGCAAGGCCGCTGCAAGGTTACGGTAAAAGGCATCGTCATTTTGCAATGGGAAAACAATGCGGTAATTGAAGTGGTACGTAGTAAACGGTGAGTTAAAAATCCGCTTAAAGTTTTCAATGGAAGATTGCTATCTATCCTACAAAATATGCATGTTTTTTTTCCCGGAGTTGTCAATCCATTCCTGATCAATAAACATTGGAATTAATGTAGCGAGTGCGCTTGTTCGTCTTTTCATTCAAATATATAATCTTTTACTTACGAGTGCAATTATCGATTATGCAATTATCAATTTTTTACGCAGCGCTAATTCTAACTGAGTGAATTCTCCACCGTCATCTCTACGACACACTAAAAAAAAAGAAAAAAAAAATAAATCGATAAAACTACAGCAAGAATGAAGTTCTCTATATGCAAAAGATTCTCATCTTAACCCTTTCAGAGGTCTCTGAAAAGGGTCGACCGGCCCTGCTTCCACGCGTTCGCTCTCGCACGCGACCGGCTTGTTTGGTCGTGGACGGCGCGCCCGCCTCGGCGAAAACCGAGGGGCCGCATTCTCGCCGCGTGTTCGATGCTAAAAATGTGACTATCCGGATTGCTCATCCGTCCTGTGTCATCTCGTAACGACGCGAGCGTAGCCAAGCGTAAAGATCGCGCGAAATCGCGATAAAAAAGATTAGAACGAAGAATCGAATAACTGTATGTTTGTCGTACATTCAATCGAAGCTGACATTCGCGTTTCACGCTGAATAAAATTCGCAGCGTTGACGTTGAAAATATCAATATTTTGGTTGCTCACCTCTTTGTTCAGTAAACTAACGAAGTCCTGCAGGAGCAAGAGATCCAAATGTCAAAGCATCTGCTTTCCCATAACCCTGCACCCTGCATAAAAATGTTTATTCCGCCACTATCCGCTCTAATAATATCGTCCTGTTCGTCTGTCTTATCCTGTCAGCGAGCTTTTCGAAAACGCGGCCATCGCGCCGAAATCACGGGATGCCGGCTGACAGCTTTTCTAGCTCAAGTCTTCCTTTTTCTCCTTTACACCGGCTGGTCAATGTGTACGAATCGGTGTGTATTGATATTGTGTGTCGGACGTCGTGAGCACGTGTTGATCGACTTGTATTCACTATTGACTGCAGGGACTTGGCACGCGGTACTTCGCACTGTCTTAGCGCGTCCGAATCACATGAAATCGTGATTCCTACTGACGGGGCCGTTGCACAAACCCCCTTTACTTACGCCCGGCTCGCTCAAAGCATGAGCGCGGACCGGCGGACCGGCACACGCATCAACGCAACGTAACGCCGCGATGCAATGCCGTGCCGCGCGCACCGCTCACCCTGTTTGCAATTGCAACAACAATTGCAATTGGAACATATAATATGTGCTTTTTAATACATTAGTAAATAGCAATTTGCAATTTGTACGAAATTATAATAATACTTTTGGCGTAAAATTAGAGGTGAATATATAGGCGACAAAAATAAACAAGAAAGAAAACTAAGACGATCGTAATTTGCAAGAAAACGAAATTAGGACATTTAAGTTATTATTTTTTTCTTATCAAAATTATTTTATCTAATTCTTTTATTGTTAATTAATAAAGAATAACATTTCATATTTTTTGTTAAATTTTAGTAAAGAAAAAATCATCTAAATTTTTAATAAGAATATAATTTTATCAAATATGTTTATTAATTAGAAAAAGGAAGAGAAATTATCCTACATATAAGTTTTCCTACCAAATCTCTTCTTATTTATGTAAATTTATTTCAATCGTAAATTAGTCATCAAATTCAAATGTTCGTTAATCCAATCATTTCCTCTAAAGATAAGTAAGATTATTATTAGTGATATTATTTATTAGATATAGATAAATGTAAATGTTATCATTTAATGATGGAATCACTTCCTTACCTAACTGTTCTTGGATCTCGTGAATAATCAAATAAATCTTTATCTATTGCCACTTGTAATACTTAAGAGATTGAGGATACTCAAACGATGACTCGTCGCAAGTGGTATTTAAACGTGTCACACCTACGCGTGATTGTACGGATTTTCGCGACGTATTCGATTTAGTGTTAACCGCGCTACGTCACTGCTCATACATGACGCATTTATTCAGACCATTTGGCATTAATACATCTACTACAGCGTTACTCCATGTGGCTCACACGTGGTTGAACAAAAAACTCCTTCTACAATTTTAAATTTTACGTTATGACTCTTATATATGTAAAATCTTTTAGTATACATAATATCAATATTTATGATAACGCATGTATTACATGCGCAACAAATTAACGATTAATATTTTTATTATCATAATATAAACGTTATTAACGATATTAGCTTTTATTAAAAAACAAAAATATATATTATATTGCATTAAGCTTCAGCGAAATCCCTGCTGGTTGTACACATTTAGTTATATTCTGCAAAACCGGTTGTCTACAAACAGGCGCGCGGAAGAGCCAAAGATAAGAGTTCTGTGTATCAGCAGTGATATGAATTTCGAGATAACTCTGTGATATATGCGATATGATAGAATGACACGGGGTCACTTGTATTATAACGGCGTTTATAACATAAATTTTTATAGGATAAATAAATAAAAAAAAAAAAATTTGTGAAAATTAATTTTGTATGACACACAAAATGTAAAAAATTATTGAGAATATAAAAACTATAATAATACATAACATTTAGCAAGTCTGTAATTTTATTTTTTTAATACACTTTTCTCAATATACGATATTAATCTTTTTTTCATAATTTTTTACACAAATACAAGGAACGAATCCTACTCACTTTGGTCTAAAAAATTAGAATAACAATCTTCAAACGGTCTTCGAAAGATAGAAAAGTTACACAAATCTCACCGCTATATCATCATTGAAGATATTAGTCTGAAGATAGCCCATCAAAAATCATATAAAAGACAAAGTTTTCCTCATGCAATAAGGTTCACAGAATATTTGAACACATCTTTATATCTTACATATGTATAGGTCAATGTTAATCCCGTCACAAATTAAGCGCCGTAAATATTCAAGTTGAATCATCTAGAGATTCTGGAGCATCCCTGGCATCACTTACATCACTTTTATTTTAATCTTACCCGTTAATTATCACTGAAACCACTGAACACAAGTTCAATCGCCGCTTGTACATCGCCATTGGTAAATTGTAACGCTTGAATGTTCACCGTGTCATCCTGGAGACCCATCTCGTGCATTTGCGCCAATTGCCTCTGCAGATCGGTGACCGGCGACGAAAACGGCGGCAACATTGGCGGCAGCACCGGCGACAAGGAAGCTACCGGGGACGCAGCTACCTGCTGCGGATTTGGATTTGTCGCCAGTGTGGCTTGCCTCATCGCATCCATGAACATTTCCGTCGTAATCACACCAGTGCTCTGGTTGTTCTGGTTGCTAGCCGCAGTTTGATTGGTATTGCCAGATGTTGAGGACGGCGGATTGTCCAGTCGCTGCGAACTCTGTGAATTCGCAGTCGGCGGCGAATTGGGGAAATGCAAATTAGAATCGGTTACAGGGTGAGTGGCAAAGAAGTGAGCAATGTCGCGCGCCATTTCCTCTTCAAAGCTCATATTGTCCACGCTGTAAGAGCGCGCTGTAGTAGGCTGTGAACTGCCCACGGAACTGCTGGAAGAGCCACTGGAAGCTACATTATGCGCTTCTTCGTGCACGGCCGCCGCAATATTCTGTGCTGCTTCGATCAATGCTGGATGCATCTCCGCGATTCTAACAAAATAAACAAAATTTGAGTTTATATTTCTTGTGTCATAAGTAAACTATAAAGTCTTTCAGATATCTTTGACAAACATTACTTGCACGAAATTATTGAACAATAAAAATCACTATTTGCATTAGTTTATCAGAAAGCCCAATTTAGAGTTGTATATTTAATCACCTTTTTACAGTATCAACATCTGTGAAATGTGCCATTAAATCAGCATCTAACAGTATGGCAATGGCAACAGTATCCTCATGTAATCCAGGGCAGGAGAAAATTATATTCTCTATCACTTCTGGTCTTTTACTTAAACGCTGAAATAAATGAAAATATTTAATTATGCAATTTTTTTACTAATACTAATATATACAAAATTTATAGAAACAATATATAAATTTAAAGAAAATAAGTAGAAATTACATGTAGAGCAATTCTGAATGCCGGAGTCTCATTGAAAGATTTAAATGCTGATGTCAGTTGTAAAATGCAGTCTTCTGATACAAATTTATTCTTTACTATTGGTTCTGGTTCCTTTTTCTGTTGAGCATGTATCATTGATCCATTTTTCAAGCCAACAGATTCTACTGTAGCGTCATTCTCCAGTATAAGTCCACAATAAATAAAATTTTCAAGCCAACAGATTCTACTGTAGCGTCATTCTCCAGTATAAGTCCACAATAAATAAAATCTGAGAAAAGAAAATAAGACAATAACATTATATTTATACTAATTATATTAAAAAATTAGAATAATTAAACTAAGGACAGTCCAAAAATTCCAAATTTAATCATAAATAAAATCTCAATCTCATAGAAATCTTAGATTACAGATTTTTTAATAGTCTTTGAGTGAAAACTTCAAAAATAAATACATTACTTTTTAAATTTTAATATTTTAAATATTTTGATACATTAAAGAAAAAAGTTTTGATAATCTTAAAATAGTTAACTCAAAGACAATGACAAGACAATTAACTGTGCAAAAAGACCAATCTTCAAATAATGCAAGTCATTTACCCAATGAATCTTTAGGCAGGTTCCATCTGTCAGCAGCTTCTTGCTTCAACTCTTCCACTTTTGTTTTTAGATTTATGCCACTCAACGTGATCGGCATCACTAACTCCGAATTTATTTGTACTCCGAGTAACAGCTCCATGACTATCATAATTAAATAAATTAGTTTTTAACATGCAACAACCTCACTCTGTTTTCAATTCACATATGATTTTTTCAGCATATGATTTCCAACTCTTCAGCTTTTCCGAATAAAAAATACATAATCTTTTGTTTTCTTTTTCTTGCTTAAGCACTAAAAAATTAACGTACTAGCTTCTTCATTATGTAAATACATGCAAACTCATGCACGCAGGTACACAACTGCATTGTTGACAGCGCGATAAATCACAAACTCAACACTGAACTAAGATGCACATGCTACTGTAAATTTTCGAGTTGTAAAATGGCGCTTTGTAAAGCCCGATTTACATGTATTCTAAATATTTTTTTTTTAATATACAGAGATTTCTTAATTATATATTTATTTTCCTATCAATTTATTTTTATTAATTTAATAATATATTTTGATAGTATAATTTTCTCAAATAAATAATAACAGAATATAAAATATTTGTTTGAAATCTAGGAATTTTCACGAATTGTATGCTTTGAGTGCGCCAATTTTATACATAAACATTTCTAACATCGAGAATACAATTGCATAAAAATATTTTTACTACTACACAATATTGTAACTAATTTGTTTGAAACGACAACGAGTCGACTGATAATGCCGGAATACTCGTTCTATTTTTGTTCAAACTGAAACTCAAAAACGTATCAATGTGGCAACACTGACGACAGTTGTCATGCCATTTACATACACACATCGTCCAACCGCTAAAGTGCATCAAGGTGCATCAAGCCACTATGCTATACGAGATCAACGATAAAATCGGCGCGATTTCTGACAGCTGACAGCGGAATGACATACCGATGATGCCAGACGACGTGCCACTCTAACTCCCGAGCTAAAGGCTAAATTCGAGCAGAGATGCAAGGCATTTGCGAGAATATTCGCACGGCAATCGAACACGGACGTACTGACATTATCAGGTCGCTCTTGGACGCGTGTACGTATTACAAAACGCAAATATTCGGTGTCGCGATATAATGTGCAAAGCATTCTGTTTTCTGTTTTCTTTTCTCTTACGTTAATAAGGTCGCAAGTGTGCGTTGTATTAATATTGATGTTATGAACTGTTTTATTATCCATTTCATTCTGTTTATATCACCGACCTTCCTGTCGCAGGTGAAAATGGTAATGCGGCAGAAGGAATTACGAGAGATAAGATACTAAACCAACCGTTCTTGGAGGAAGGAACTCTTTTATCATACGCCTCACAGGTTTGCAATATATTTCTAACAGTTTTACCTGTTTTGAAATTTCTCTTTTAACTGAATTATGTTTTTCTCCTTAGACGAATCAAGCGGATATTGTGAGAACTCTTTTAAATTGCGGCGCTGATCCAGCTGTGCAAAATGCGAATGGGCACAATGCTGTTGATGTTGCCTCCAGCGATGCGATACGACATATTTATATGGAAGAATTGTTAAGAGCGACAGCTGCTTCTGAGTATGCAAACATTTCTTAGCAATTAATTTTAAACTTTTTTTTTATATGATAATATATTAATTACATTAATTTTGTGTTAATTAATATCATAAAACATGTATATTTTACAGGGTGGACAGAGTAATACAGTTGTTAGATGCAGGATTAGATGTTAATTCATGGGATTCACAAGGTAGTAAGAACACACCATTACATTGGGCAGCATGTTATGGAAACAAAGATATAATTGCGTGTTTACTTGGTAATATACAGAAAGATGTTAGCCGACACCTAACAATAGTGTTTTATTATATTAGAATCTTTTTGTAGATAAAGGAGCTGACGTAAATGCAGAGAATGGTTGTGGTGCAACGCCATTGCATGACGCAGTGAATCGTGGCGACATCGCTATCTGTCAGGAACTCTTGCAAGCTGGTGCAAATCCTCTCATACGAGCTACCAAGGGGTGAGCGATTAACTACAACTATATTTTTGTCACTAGCACAAATATATATTGAAAGGCAATTTCTTTTTTAGGACTTTTGCAGGGAAAACACCATATGATCTATCCAGAAAAAAACAATCCTTGCATTGTTTCCTTCAAAGATTTATATCAAATTTTATGTTGAACGAAAACGAAACAATGCATAGTCCTGCTACATCATTCGCGGAGACAAATTTTTGTCAAAAGAGTCTTTCGAGCAATATGAGCCAACTATCGGTTGAATCTAATAAATCCTCAGATCCAGTGTACGATCTGCCTTCACGTGACACAGGCAAACAAAGTCCTAGCAAATCTATCGCCGATAAGGAAAGCATTTACAACTTGTTATGGCCACAGCCGAAAGTTGTGGTTGAATTGAAAAATTTTACCGCACCATTTATTGCCGGAAAGGAGCTTCTTATATCAATAATACAGGTAATATTTGCTTCTCGAATATCAATTTTTTGGATCTTTGTGTTGTTAAAATTGTCTGCATTTTTATTTTACGTTTAATTTCTCATTGCACATAAATTATCTTTCAGGGCAGTGAATCTGTACATAGGATATTAGACGTATGGGAGATCAGTAGAACTCATTTATTGGAATTAGGCCATGACGTAAAAATTGGCGAAGTACAGCCCAGTTGCGGCAAACTACTCAACGACAATACTATAGAATGTATCGTGAATAGGAACTTATTTAATAACACGGATGGCTATCAATTGCATATTACACAAAATTCCATCAAAGTCAACGCTGGGAGCTTAACAGGATTGCATTACGCAGTCTGCACATTTGTACAGATACTACGTCTAAGTAAGAACAAAAGCAGATCAGAGGTGTGCGAAATAGAGCCTGTCTTTATAAAAGATGAGCCTAGATTCGCGCATCGCGCTGTATTGTTGGATATATCGCCTAGAGGACGTATACCAACTCTAGAATATCTGTTACATACTATTGATCTGCTGTCATCATTTAAGATCTCGCATTTGCATCTTTACTCCAGACTTATACCGAATTGCGACTGGCAGCTTTGCTACTCGAAATCCGAGATGGTAACTCTGGATAGATACTGCAGGTATGATTGATATTCATGAACTGAACAAGCTCAAAAAAACTTATTTTCAAATAAGAATATTTCAAGTTTCATCAATTTGTTTTTAACAACTACAGCTTGTTTCTATCGTGCTTATTTTCGATTTTATTATAATAATAAAGTACACATTTTTGGATTTTTATTAAAAATTTTAATTTTTCACGACTTTTTCTTTATAATCTTAAAAAAGTAATTAAATGTTTATTAAAAATATAATATTGGCTCAAATTATTCAAATAAATTATTAACAACAAGCTACAGAGCCCAAGCTGGATTTTCGTGCTTAATTTATTAATATATTATAACAAATGTTTAGGTCAATCTAGACGTTTCGACCATC